GAATGGGGCAAAACCGAAAAACTTCAAATTAGACCTGCCATTAAAAAAGAAATCCTCGTGACCGAAAACAAAAAACAAAAACAAAAAATCTTTTAGCTTTTCTACTTTGGTGAAGAAGGAAAACCAGCAAAGCTCTACTATGGTGGGAATGAAGTATTGGCCGGCCGCAAGTCGGCAAGCCAGAGTGGAAAGGCTGTAGCTGTCCAGAGTTTAGTGTCATCCTTTGTTTGCTGACACGATATTGGGGAAGCTAACCCTTAAAAACTCCGCTTTAAAAAAAAAAATTCTGTGCAGCTTTTTTTTTTTTTTTTTGGTTCGAACGGAACTTTTAATAACTTTCAGTAGAGTAGATTGTTGGGCTAGTTGGTCTTGGAACTTGGAATGCATTTTAGCGCTCAAAACACAAGGACACAAAGACGAGAATCAGACACCACAGCGCACTGTGGTGGCTGATTCTCGTCTTTGTGCCCGTGTGTTTTGAGCACTAAAATGTATTCCAAGTTTCATCAACTGTTCTTGAGGTTGGTGTTTTTTGGGGAACCACGTTCCTTGCCCTGCCTTCTTCTGTTCGGGATACAGGGATGACGTTTTCCAAGCATTTTGGGTCACGGCCTTGAGTTCCATAGACCTCGAAAGAAAAGACACTGGAGTGGAGAAGGTGCCGGGGGGAGGGGGGGTATTTAGGGTCACAAGTTTATAAATATGCGCCCGTTTTATAACATGACCGCCGATAAACCCCGACCTTTTCTCACATAGTTTCTCGCTGCATAGGAAACTCGCGCTTGAGTTGGGACAACTGAAGTTCCTCTCTGCCGTTCTCACCTCGTCAATGACTACTGGTGACCCGCGCGACCAGAAATGTCGCTGTTGTTGTCCTTCCACGGTTGGCAAAACTATAAAAACTGTACATTAAAAAAAAACGGAGACGACAGAAGAAGAAGGGCACAAACGCAAAACGGCTCCCTGTTCGACCGTCAGTTCCTTTTTTTTTGTTGTTGTTGTTTTTTTTTTTCAAAAATGTGTAACATCAACAAGCTCGCCTGTTTACTTTTTCTCTAAAAGCTGCTTCCCACAGTCCTGTTTTCTGACGTTACTCCCCGAAAGCTTACGTACGAATCACCGGGACGTTTGTGCGTCATATTAAGCGTGGCTACCAGTTCAAGGAGACGGCCTGGCACGCGACATTAGAGACACGAATGTTTCCCTGACTTCTACGTAGCGTAAGGGAACGGTGTTGTGTGAACCAGCCATTTCAAGGACACCATGCCGTGTTCCAAAATTTACTCAATCCTACTCCAGGGTAAGCGTTTTGTACCTTGGCGTTCTAAAACCTACCCGCGTCCAGAGGTTTTCAATCTGTGTTGTCATGTGACACGACCTGCCGGAGCAACTCGCATCCATTTGGGTAAGATTGGGAACACAGCCCTTGAGCATGATGAATTCTGCTTTTGTTTATGCAAATAAGAGCAGCTCCGGACTGTCAACTTCGACGGTGCTGGTTTAAGAACTCGATATCTCCGACCTTACACCGTGCTTTTACGCACACCATCCAAATCGTCACTGGCAATCGGTAATCCTGGTCATGGCGTCACAGATAAGCATCGTAAGAGGGAGCCACCGAAACACCTCGTCGCTAATGGCGTCCCACACGGTCGATGCTCGGTACCTCTATCGAACCCGGCCGACGGGCTGAGGTTAAGGGGACGCTTTTATGCCATCCTTGATCCATGACTCGAGAACACGACCGTAATATTCTGTATAAACAATGTTGGTGTTTTTATGCCCCACGAAAGTGTCCGGATATCCAGTATTCATGTAGAACTCACCGTGACAAAAAGAGCTGTAATATTATCTGATCCCGGTAGAGATCGGCAACCCACATTATGCGCCGACGTAGTCCCATTAGTGGAGGTTGATCCCATGCTGCAGTCAATGTGTAATTCACGATAATATAGCAAGGGTGCAGGCGACCTGGTGAATGTTAACCATGTTTAATAAACCTGAGACTGGGGCAGAAATGAATATATAAGTCGAAAGAACAGAAAAAGACAGGACGACGTCTCAAGACGTCACACTGTCCTTTCCTGTTCCTTCGACTTATATATTCATTTCTGCCAGGTTTATTCAACATGTGTAATTTGTATTCAGTTCATATCCTGAGCTCGATTATATATATATATATATATATATATATATATATATATATATATATATATATATATATATATATAGATATAGAGAGAGAGAGAGAGAGAGAAAGAAAACCTCAGCACGCATTGCACGACGTATTTTTATGAGTCATTTGCAAGTCGCATAGCTTTACAACGATTGAAGCAATTTTTGTTTTACTATTATTAGCGAAAAATAAAAAGCTGAACCCGGGTTTTGTTGCCATCAACATTAGAGTTTCGGTCTTTTCCTGTTTAAGTATATTACAATTTTGTTTTTGGAGTTACATGCACAAAACCTACAAGAGTTTTTTATTATTATTATTGTTTTGGTGCTTGTATGTTAAAAAAAGAAAATGCCACTTCTGTTAGGCATTTTTTTTTTTTTTTTTTTTGTTTATGAACAGCGTATCTATCTGGGCCAAAAAATAAAGTCCCTAAAGTTACGAAACATTATGAAACTTTTGTATGGTCTTTTCAAGCTCAAAGCCGGTTATCATGTTTCGGACTACGTAGAATAGCGCTCTGACATCAGTCCGTGTAGTAATACTCACACGTATCCAAAAGAGGTTTTCGCTGCTTCAATGTGATTCTTGATTCTTGAACCGTAAATATGGAATTTGAAATCGCCTGGACTAGTGTTCGGGTTTATGCTTAAGGCTCCAGTCTCACAGCGGTCATCTTGAATGTTCACAAGACAATATTTAATTTAGTAAAACAAAAAATACAAGCTCAAAAACAGCATTGCTAACTTATTTCGCGTGTTCTAGGGCAAACTCGCAGAGTCGTAGGTTGATCATTTATTTAAATAATGAATAGTAAATATTAACACGGGTTTCTAGTTTTTCACCTCTAAAATTAAAATTAGAGAATGTTTCTTAATTGGGTTTATGCGTTATATTGAAGTGAGCAAGGGCTTATTTGAAGAAGTAGTGTCAAAGTGTGTTACAAAAGAAAAGTAATTTCTACCACAAAACTTTGGGTTAAAAATACAAAATAAAATTATAAAAAATGAAAATATCTTGTCTAGTCCTTTGCAAATGAAAAGCCAGTGGAAATATTTACTTGTTAAATATCTAATTCAGACATTAACCTAGATGACTGTAATAGCTTGCCCAAGAATCCCCCAAAACACGTTCGCAAATCTAAATTTGGACATATATATCTATCTATATCTATATATATAGGGTGTTTCTTAGCTTTCAAATTTGCTTAAAAAGAGCCAAAAGTTACACTTAAGCGGTTTGTTCAGGTAAGGTATACGGCCAAGGGAACATTATGTGGGAAGCCAATCTTTGCGATAAGTCGGCTAGTTAAGTCAAATTCGGTCATTAACTTTTAAATTTGTTAAAATAGTCACATGGTTTCAATTAGACGCTAACTGAGCGTCATCGAAGACAAGTAAATTAAACCTTTTTAGAACGACTTGAAGCTCGTCGGAAACTGGGGGACGCACTTAAGTTACCATTCGTGAAGCAGGCGCAAAGCTATACTTCGTTTCACCTTCTGATGTACCGCAGCGAAGGCTAGAAGCGCGAGCTCGTAGCGTTGGCAGTTGCTCTTAAGTCACGAGAGCTTGAGCCGCCGAGATGTGCCCCAGAGCAAGGAGCTCGCGCTTGTAGCTTTTCCTGCGGTACATCATAAGGTGAAACAGAGTATAGTAGTGGCGGAACGCGCATGATTAGATTACCATAGCGTTCCGCCGCTGCTAGCTTTGCGCCTGCTTCACGAGCGGTAACTTTGGTGTGTGCGTGTGTGTGTGTGTGCTTGTGTGTGTGTGCGCACGTGCGCGTGCGTTTGTGTGTGTGTATGTTTGTGTGTGCTTTCATTTCTTTAGGTTTTACAGACTTGTTTTAAACAGGACGTGAACGCTACCTTAATACGGTCTCTGAATGTGAGTTATAAGTTCAGGGGGACATATTATAGTGGGCTATTCGTCACAAAAAGTCTAATAATGAACTAAAATTTGTTTTATCTATGTATATAAACGTATAGTTTCAATTAGAACCTTGATGAGGGGAATCAAAACCACTAAATGAGACATTTTTTGGCAGACTTTGAGCGCGTAAGAAGCGCAGTAATGCGCTAAAGTTACCAGTCGTGCAACAAGCCCAAGGCTGACGTTGAGAAAACGCGGACAATAAGAGACGGAAAAACAGCGCGGGCGCTTTATTGTGCCTGTAGCCTTGCTCTTGCTCCACGAGTGGTAACTTCAACGCTCCACTGTACTTCACACGTGCTCCAAGTCTTTTCTAAAATTGACTGAATTAGTAGTTTTCTCATGACTCTTAAAAAGTTTCTAAATGAAACTATGTATTCATTTTTACTGACTCAAAAGTAAATTAACATATCCTAGTTTATAACCCGACTGGTCGTGACGCCTATATTATGCTCCCCTGGCCGTATAACTCACCTGCACAGACCGCATTAGTTTGATTTTCACAGCTTTCTTTTTAAAGGCCGACGACTAGACCCGATTCTGCAGGGCAGAAGATCCTCTTCACCATGGGAGAGGAGCAAACAGGCAACGGTGGACAGAGTTGAAGAGGGAGAGGCGGAAGCGAGGGAGAAGTGGACAGCGCGAAGTGGTCGTCGGTCTTTAGACAAATCTGTAAAACCTAAGAAAAAAAAACGGCTTCGACGTTACGCTGTTGAGGTGGCGCTACTGTCGGCGTGGCTCATGCGCAAATATTTCCCTTCGCGTCAATCTAGTTTTGCGCATGCGTAGTGCTCACACCTGGTGTGGTCCAATGCGGGCTTGTTTGTAAAGTGCACGTGGGCGATTACCATCTGAAGAGCGCTTCTGACCGGACTTGTGTGGGGTGTTCGCAGGCGGCGTGTCGTTCGTGGGCATGATGATCGGCGGCCTGGTGTGGGGCAACCTGGCCGACAAGATGGGGCGGCGGCGGACGCTGCTTTCGGCGCTGCTCACCAACGCCCTGTTCTCCGTCATCACCACCTTCATGCCCACCTACGGCCTCTTCGCCGTCACCCGGCTCTGTTCGGGCATCGGGTGGGTACACGGAAGCGAGCCTGTCTCCACGCTCCTAGGCGGCAGAGAGAGAGATTTTAAAAAAAAGTTGATTGACGGGAAAACGAAGGAATTCGCCTTTTGCGTTGCGCTGTGGCGCCATCTTACGGGGCGCACAAGAAACAATATGGTTGGCCTCGAAGTGCAGACGGCGCACGCGCAGTCGGATCTTGCAAAAGGCGAATTGCGTAGGCGTTCGCGTTCGCGCTGGTTTGGTACTTTGCATAAGGGAGAGTAGGTGGGGAGGCAAAGGGATCACGAAGCTGTAGAAAAGACGAATGCAAGTTAAAGAACAAATTCCTAAAGGTTACGAATATACGTAGATAAGAGGTGTGCGTATAAACTCATGCGCCTACTTTATAAATATTTAAATATGGGTATGAAAAGGGCAAATATATCCTACAGATCCGATCGTACAGTTTAAGATACTTTTTTTGTCCTTGTGCTACATGACCGCTTTCAGTAGGATATACCAATAGTATTCAAAGTATACCTTTTTGTTTTCATAATTTCCTGGCACAGATGACTTTTTGGCGAAACAAGATGTGAAATCGATATTTTATCATAGTTTTTGGTGCACTCCTGCATGAAATGTTAAACCAAATTTATTTATGACGCCACATGATGTTTTTTGGGGGGAAACTCGATATAAATGTTGTTGGAAGAAAACGGCAAACGCGTATCTGAAAAGATGTATCTTTTCAGTTATTCGCTTCTGGTGGATAACTTAAAATATTCGAGGGTGTTGCGGCATTGAAAGTAAGAACTTAAATTGCTTTTTTGTTTCTTTTTTGTTGTTTTTCGCACTTGAAGCACCGAAAAAGGCCACAGACACGAACTAAAAATGGAATGACTTACGATCACATAGGATGTGCTTTATACACACATAAAAAAAATGACAGACAGAAAATGTCCTCAGGATTGTCAAGAAGCACCGTCTGCGTAATCTAGAATTCCCGTACATCGAGGAGTGTTATGACAGCCCTTTCAGCGCAACACTCTCCTGGTTAACTAATTAACGCTTATCGCTCGGTCCGCCAGCTTAAAGCCGAAATGAACATCAAACAAATTTCAGCATTATAAAGTCTTAACGAGATGGTACCTTATTTGACACTCCGCAGATCCCTTGCCGGCTAAGAAAGCAGAAAAAAAAAAAAAAGAAACAGTGAATTTTGGTTAGTTCGGATTTTTTTCCTTTGCAAGTTTAGGAATTTCGATAACTTCCGTCGTTAAAAAACTGACTTTCAACGTCATTATATTTGTTCCGTATATAAGTTTCTGCCTTTGGAAGTTAGAGTCTGGGTTTGCATTTTTAAAAGCTCCAGCTTTATTGCGGGACATGTTTTCTTTGCCAGAATGCTGCACAGAACAAAACAGCAGAGAACCCCGAAGTCCGAAAGGCGCGCTGGCTGGAAGTTGGAACGTCGAGCAACCGGAGTGTGTTCAGGCCCATGCAGGATGTTCGGATGTAAAAACTGATGAACATAAAAAAATACTGCTTAATTTTATCTAGTTTATAAGAATAAAACTATTCTCTTTTAATGGTGTGTTCGCGTCAATCTGAAAGTGTTCCGCGCTTTAGTATCCGTTTCCCTTCTTCCATAGTCGCATGCTTTTTCAACCGAACCTAGAGAGTATGCTTCATGTTTAGCTGTCAAAGCTCTGACTAAATGGATAGAGATCATCGCCCTAGGAGGATATGTCGTGCAACGTGTCGCGGTTCCCTTAATTTGAAGATAGATTACATTAACCTAATTTTCTGTTGTTGATAATGGGGTCTGTATGATGGGTGTAAAGGGCTTTAGCTAAGAACGTCAAATAACTAACTATGCTCAACCGCAATACCGTTCACTGTCGTAGGATGTCCAGTCACCGATACTATTGGTGTAGTGGAAAGCGCTCATTCAGGGCACTAACTTAAGTGGGAGAATTTGATGGCCGACAATATTTTCTGAAGGTATAATGCAAAAATAAAACGCCGATATCGTGTTTGCCCCAACATTACTCAATTACTGAACTGCTCATAGACGCTGCTTGCACAAGCAGTACCTCCGCCCCCCTCACCCCACGACACGCCTCCTGTCGTTCGACGCGCCACCTTTTTTTCCTTTTTTTTTTTTTTTTTTTGGGGGGGGGGGGGGGGGAAGGGGGGACGGCTGCTATCGTAACTGCAGCGTATTCTATGGAATATGTATGTTTCGAAGCACATTGTCTAGATGGCGCTTCAAACGACCGGCTTCAAACGACCGCGAACGCGCATGTCCGTGAACTCCCGTCTGCTCCCAGCTGTGCGTGGAGTGTCGCCATCTTCCTTCATTCGCCCAATAGAATGCATGGAATCGACATCCAAATTTCACTTTTTTCCTTTTATTTTGCTGACTCTGGCAAGAAAAATATATAGTGTTGTTCCTCGGTGCGTTAAAGAGCTAAGGAATGCAATTTTTCCGAGCTTGATCACAAACTTTTTTTGGTGTGGAAAAGAAGTCGGCCCGTAGCAGACGACGCGTAGCCTCAACACTGCATGCTCTGCGCCGAAAGCGTGTTGCGTCAAAATGGCGGTCGTTTCCTCTTTGCTCCCTCCTTCCTCTCTGGCTCCCTCGGCGCTCTCCCCCGTTTCCTTCACCTTTCTCCTCTCCAGTGCCTTCGTCGCTACACCTACTGGCCAGATTCCCAATACACGGCTCTGCGGTAAGCGGAAAGAAGGGAGTTATGGAACCCCCGTCTCAGCGAGGGTTCCACAACTGTGCAAATCTAGTAACGTTGGTTTGCACTAACAGCAATGCGCAGTGCACGAGACGTGTCTTTTTTTTTTTTTTTTTCCCGGTGCAGTGTGGGCGGCTCGATCCCGATCGTGTTCACCTACTACTCGGAGTTCTTGCTGAAAAAGCACCGCGGCCGCAACCTCTGCTGGCTCCTGCTCTTCTGGGCCATCGGCGGCGTCTTCGTCTCTGTCACGGCGTGGGGGCTTATTCCCAGGACAGGTACGAAGATCCGCCGGAGACGTGTTCCTGGTTTTAACCGTGCATATTTGACCTACTTCCCCGTATCCCGGCAAGACAAAACGTATATCACGTTGCATGTTCCGCGAAAAAAAAAAAAAAAACTGCAAACAAAAGAAATTTACCTAGCGATATTTTTGTGTTGTTTTTCATTTACTTGAAGGTTAGTCCCGGACTCCCGTTAAATATTTTATGAACAATAACTTCAAGGGCGCTTCACAAAAGATAAAAACACGGCACTCAAAGCGAGCAGGTGCGGTCGGTTCAAGACTAGCACTCACGGCGCGCCCCTATACGTGAAGGGTGGCGTTGCAGATACACCAGGGAGCTGACGTCGGCGAAAATGAAACAAAATGGAGTTATAACAGATCGTGTTTCCGTTGAACGATGCAGGTATAAGGATACCGCGCTGCCGCATCGAACCATGCTACGAAGCGAATACTGGGAGTGGTAATGGGCCTTTGGAAACGGTCGTCTAAAATTTTACAAAACGTTTAAGCGGTTAAAGGAAATCCTGTTTATCGTATTTGGACTAATCTGGATAAATCCGGAAAACGTCGCACAGGCTGCCTGACACGTTTCCGTGCAAACGATTTTTCAAACAACCCAAAGTTACTCGATCGCGACTTGTACGCAACAAATTACAAGTAATGAATTACTTGTAATCGATCACATTTTAGTGTAATTTGGTAACGCTTCAATTACTTCCTTTAAAAAGTAACGATCCTTGTAATTGAACTACTTTTTTGCTGCAATCGATTACAAAATTACCCATTACAATTTTTTTTTTTTTGGGGGGGGGGGGTGGGGGAGGGGGGAGGGAGGGGGGGGGGAAGGGGGGGGCGAACGGGACCTCGAGGATTAGTAGGCCCCTTTCCTATGCTTCGTTTTTCTGGGTAAATTTTGTTTTGTACACCGGAGACTACGTCCGGGTATGAAAAAGTAACTTATCCAGCCTCTTGTGAGTAATGTATTTAAATAGCGATATTTTTATTCTATTTGTTTTTTCACGAGAGGGATTGGGCGTGTTGCCGTCACTCACTCTGCTCCAAGCAAACGCGGTCAAGGCTTTATTTTTTTTAGAGCGCAGCTCTTAGGGGCCCGTTCCCGGCTTGAGCGGCGTCGCCGTCGCCGTCGGCGTCGGCGTCGGCGTTGGCGTAACCAAGGTCATCCCAAGGTCACGTGGCCCCCCAAGGTCATCCCAAGGTCACCCCAAGGTCACGTGACCCCCCTGAAGTCACGTGACCCCCCGAGGTCACGTGACACCCCCAGGTCACGTGACCACCCCCCAGGGTCACGTGACCCCCGCCGAGGTCACGTGACCTCGCCGATGACGTCATCGTCACTGATGACGTCACCGGCATCCGCATCGTCATCGTCATCAGTGATGATGACGATGACGATGCGGATGCCGGTGACGTCATCAGTGACGTCACTGGTGACGTCACCAGTTATGATGACGATGACGATGCGGATGCCGGTGAGGTCATCAGTGACGTCACTGATGACATCATCGGCATCGTCACGTGACCCCCCCCCCCAGGTCACTTCACCCCCCCAGTACCCTTCCCTCCTCCTCCTCCTCAAGAGCTGCGCTCTAATTCGGTGTTACAGGGAGTTGTAAACGGCTTTCACTTTTTTTTTCGCATTAACTGAGCACGGGACCCCAAGGATTATGCTACCGTAATTTAAAAAGTTGAATGAAAAGTAACTTGGGAAGTAATCGAATACTTTAGAGTAATTTTTATTACTTTTTTGAGGCCGTAATTATAATTGTAATCGGTTACTTTTTACAGTGAAGTAATTGTAATTGTAATCGGGGTTACTTTTCAGTAACGTGTACAAGTCTGATTCGCTCATCCGAACCACCACTGCTGGTCGGCCGCTAGTTACAAAACATTTTAAAAAAAAATCTATTTTTGAATTAACTTGTATTTTTATTTTTCACAAAAATGTTCATCTTCTTCTTCTTTTTTTTTTTTTTTTTTTGCTTGCTTCGGAAGTATGTTTACGTACCCAGAAATCACAAATTGTTTACCCTGAGGGATAAGTAGTTTCGATTGTGCATAAACGGGGTTCTGAGAAAATTTGCAGTATGTGAAGTTGGTATTGAGCCTCCAAATGGACACCGAAAAGAAAGCCTCCATTGGTTGTCTAGCTGTGGTCTGAGTTTTAATTTGCATGCAGTCAGAAAATGTCTGCCCTTGGTAGCGCTACCCCTCCCAAATAACTAGATAATATTTTCTACCATTTGAATCACTAAGATTAGGATTTCTAAGTTTACATTTTCTGTGTCCAATTGATAAACAGAACAAAAAAAAAGTTGTCTCTTCAAATAAATTATGCTTTTAACAAAAATGCCCCTGTCAGATAAATTGTTAGCGCCTCCCAGCTTCAGAACAAAATTCTGTTGGAAGCGATCTTATTTTTAGAGTCTTAGCGCCTCGACGAAAGCAATCGAGCGAAACCATGCGTGAGAGCTCCTCGCTCTGTTGCTTCCCCGCAATGCAGCTAAATGCGTAGGAGAAGCGCTCTTCTCAGCCGAGGGCGAGGTCATCCGCCTATAAGAAGAAAAAAAAAAAAACGAAAAGTTAGTTTGCTCCAGTTTCAAGCGTGTGCTCGTGTTTATGCGCGTGCACATAGTCTGTACTTCCGTGTTTGCATGTGTCCGAAAACTACCCTTCACCTTTTACGAAGTTGAGAAAAATGCCAAGTTTACTTTGTTAGGAAAGCTTAGCGGCGATTCAAACAAATTACAGCGTTGTTAATTTGTGTTCTGTTTTATTGCTGCGTATATTGTATTGTGTATTGCACTTAAAGTAATGTATAGTATACATTCTTGCGCTTCCGTTTTTTTTTCTAAGGTTAAAAAAATAGTCAGTGCAATTCTTTTTCCGTTCGTTACAACTTTGGAATGATGCTTATAAGGCATGGGAAAAATAAACCCTTTAGCGGAGATTGAAACGTTGTCTGCCCCCTTAATTTCTGCCATTTTCATGTCTTTTATTCTAGTCTCAGGTCTTACCGTCGTAAGAAAACTAGCTATGCATTGATGGCGCAGGTGAGCGGTGTAGATTTACCACTTTCTTAAAGGGGCACTGAAAGGTAAAATATATTTTTTTATTGTTAACCTAAACGATTGAAAACGATGTCTCGACATTGCCCTCAAAATTCTAAATTTGGGAACTCAGTATTTGTGAAGAAAAAGAAAACCATTTCCAAAAGCAGAAGTTGAAGTTCCCGCGCGATTTGGGCCAGGGCAGTGACGTCAAAGATTGAGTCGTTCTACAACTCGAGTTTTCCTCACGTCTCCGAACCGTCCCGCCCGAACCAACCGCTCTTCTCCACGCGATCTGCCTATCGCTGTGAGCAGACAACGCTTCACTTTCGAGTACGAAGTTCTTTTAGGGCCCTCTCAGTGATCTCCAATTCTTTGAAACAGTGTGAAGTCAAAGAGAACGCGCAGTGGACTTTTGTGAGTGACGTGAGGGGCCACGTCGCGCCGGTTTTGCGTGAAAGGCTGCCCCGGCGGAGTTACAGCCGAAACTACGGTACACAGACACCAAACCTAGTTGTTTTGACCGTTTGACAATTTCCATCTCGAAGTCTGAGATATTGTCGGGCACACTCACTGAGCGTCCTCAGTGCTACATGTGCCGAGCGCCGCCATGTTCTCCGAGGGAGGATAGAAATCTGGGAGGTGACATCATTCCGGACTCGAATTTTCGGTATTCCAAAAAAGAAGGGCCGTAGTGCGTTCGCAATTGCGTTAAAAAAAAGACATATTTTACGAATGCCGTTATTAAATATCATAAAACTGTCACGTACAAAGCATCTAAATTTCATAATCAATTAAAACACAAATAAAAAGAAGTGAGGAGGTGAGAAGAGGTACGGAAGGGTGGCAAAGATAAAAAAGGCCAGCGCGCGCGTGTAAAAATATTTTTTTTTCCGTTGTGGCACTGAGGGGGGGGGGGGGGGGGGGGGCGGGGGGGGGGGGCGGGCGAGGGGCGAGAAGAATCCCAAAGTGCAAGAAAAAGAAACAAAAGTTTGAGACGTTGCCTTCTGTCATTCTACTCCTTTTTTTCTTTACTTTGGTTATTTCTCTTTCTTTATTTAATACAAGCTAATTAAAAAAGATTGCAATTATGCAGGGATATTTTTCCTCCTGATAAAGAACGACTGAACATTGCACCGCGTGCACACAGGCACGACCCTGCTGGGCCTCGGACGACTCCATTTCAGCAGCTGGAGGGTGTTCCTGCTCGTGTGCTCGCTCCCTTCGATCGTGTCCGTGGTGGGACTCGCCTTCCTGCCAGAGAGCCCCAGGTTCCTGTTAGAGGTGTGTGCACGCTTCCTCCCCTTTTCCCCATAGCGAAAAAAAAATAACGCAGTTTTGGTTGGCCTTAAAAATCGGCAATAATACTGATATTAGACCAGGGGTCCTCAAAGTTCTCGATTTCAGTGCACTTACTATAGGGAGTGCTAAAATTATGCATCAATACAACACATAGCGACAGGAACGAGCAAGACAATTTGGGAGCTTGAGGCACCTGTGAGAGTACTCTGGAGAATTTCTGGGCTCCTAGTAATCCAGTTTGAGAGCCCATGTGCTAGAAAGTACAACAAATGAAGTATTTCGCAAAATTTCACATCTGTACGGCGCACAAGTGTATCTCTTCATTAAAGAAAGAGAAAAGTCCTTTCTATGAAAAGACTAGGAGAACGACCTTTTGGAGCGTAACCCCAAACTTGCGTATGCACCTTTTTTAAACAAATTTGAGCTTTAGTAGGACGTTGCGTTCTGTTTATTCTAGTAATTAAACGTCAAAATTATGTACGAAAAACTTGGATTGCAAGTGACTTACATAGCCGTATTAAGGAAAAGGTAGGATTTCCCATAATTTTATTAAATGTCGGAACCAAAATCTTCTCATCAAATTAAAAAAAGAACAAGAAATAAACTGAAATCCGATTTTAAAAAGGTCAAATCTGAATATTATCGAAATATTTTTTAAGGGTATACCATGACCCAAGAAAGATATGGGAAACTGTAAACGAAATTACTGATAGGAAAAGACGCGTGCAAGGAACGCAAAGTGTTGCTATCGACGGCAGGAACGTGAGGAACGTGAGTGAACAAAAAATGGCGAATCTATTGATTATGCATTTTGTTGACGTTAGTTCACCGCTAGAACACGCAGATACTTCGCAGTGATGTGTCACAGAGGCAATGACTTCCCACGTCAGTTCATGCAGTTCTGGGTCATTGTTTAGATAATTTTGTTAAAAATATATATGAAATCCATGTTCTTGGGAGCAACATTCAGCCATATATGAACGGGGGTAACATTTGTTTTCGCTAAGATATAAAATAGAGAAGCTCGAGGCGTGGAAATTGAGAAGATTTCCCGATGCTACTTTGCACAGTCGTCATTTCCTCGTAGAAGCTTTCACGTCACCATAACTTTTTAATACATTTTGCAAAAAATATACGACACGTACACAAAAAATAAAAAATATCAATAAAATATATCTATGCAAAAAAAAAAAATCAAACATGGCATAAAAACGTGTTTTAGAGACATATTCACAATTTCTTTTTTTTTTTGCAAAGAAACCATCTTTATAATACTTTACAAAACATATCAAAATGCGCGTCTTTAAATATTGTTTACGAATATGTAAACATTATATGCCCACCAATATTTGTCTTTTTGTTATCAACGCGGAAACGCAGCTGATTTCTCAAAATGTGGCAAGATAGGGCGTGGATATTTAAAAAAAAACCTCGATCTTTAATTTTTTTTTTTAAACTCCCCTTGGCACTTTGCAGTGACTTGGACTAACTTGTGATGGCAAAACATTGAGTTACGTATGTGACCTCCAAACGGGAAAAGCTACGACAAACCTCCACTCGCAGCGATCCGACGTCTTCGTCATAGCGGCTTTGCCGCACAGTACCAAACATATAGAGCGTTACTTCTGGCATGTATTTTATATTTATTAATTTTTTGTTTCAAAAGGGGTGGGTATAACTGATGCGGAACGGTACTTTGAGCTGGAATACCATTAAATAGCTTACAATTCACAAAAACAAAACGGCCCCACTCTGCAAATTCGCTAACTAAGCATACATAAGCTTAAAACTCTAAGTTGCGCAAGTGGCCATGTATCCATTAGGCCTCTAGGCATACAATGACTTCCACAGATGAGATGCCTTAATTTCTCTCACGGGTTTTACAGTGGTTCACCCAGCTTGCTTCACCGCACGAAACTCTCGAACCCGTTCCGCAGACAGGTGGAACGTGCAGACATTTGCTACTTTTTCCACGTAGCACTTCCACAAAGTCTTTAGCGGTGAAAATCGTTGAGTTGAGCGAAGATCTCAAGTTGGTGAGCGTTACGTGGTGTTTAGAAACACCATCTACTTCTTTCATTTTCCATACTCTTCGGCTTTGCCGAACAGTACGGCTTCCGAGACAGTTCGTGCAATTGGAAACGATTCTTGAAATGGCCTCTATGGCTAGGAAAGCGTGAGCTGTGTCATCTGTCGTGTCATTGCTGACAACGGCAAAAGCTTTGCGTGCCTTGCGTGGACCTAACCACACATGTGAAGAGAAGCACTTGAGTTTTTTTGTGTTTTTTTTTTTCAATGAAAACTCTGCACTTCGGTTGGGAAGATTACTGTCCGATTTTCCGCAAAATCGAAGTGGAACATCACTGCCTTGAGTGGTAAGGTGGTTCTTGTGTCATGTATCAGGCTTCATTGAAGATCATGGATGTAAGAATGTCTCATATACTCATACAGTTTCTGCTCCATGACTCCAATTCCTGCAAAAAGGCGGAAGTGTCCATAACCTTGTTGACATGTTCGCCGGCGTCCCATAACGCGAAACAGATATCTTCGTCTTCGTCCAGATGGAGCGACTGCGGCGAGATGCTCTGCATTTTTGGGCACTTTTCGCAACGGCGCAGGAAGCAATCGTTTTCTGGAGCGCTGCAGAGGTAGATGAACTTGAGGTCGTCTTCACGAACTGTCTTCTTTGAGGCATTTGTTATTGCCGTTAAAAGCAACTGAAAATTAATGCAATATTGTCACGGGTGGTGACCAAAAACCAATAAATAAACAGGAAGAAATAAACGTTTAATGTGGCGAACGTGTGCCAAAAATAAAAGCGTACAAAAGATAATAACAAAGCGTCGCGGACGTCGAAGTCGGCGTAACAGCAGAGTCGAACGCTGGGGCGAAACTGACTGCGGTTCGCCACGCGGCGCCCCTTATGTACAGGGTGTCACAAAAGAAAATTTACACGGTATTTTTTTACCGCAAAAATAAACTAGGCAACGCCGAACGCTCATCCTCCGCCCAAAGGTAGAGCTAGAGGTCGCAACGAGATGCCAAAGTTTCAGCCCGATCCGATAACTTAATCAAAAGTTATAAGTCATTATCTGAAAATTGCAATGGGAAAATGGAGCCCATTTTTGCCCGTTTTCGGTTTCTGGTGCCATAGAGCCCCATGTGTTTGAAAACTCCGTCGGCCGCCATTTTCCCATTGAAATTTTCAGAAAATAACTTTTAACTTTTGATTAAGTCATCAGATCGGGCTGAAACTTTGGCATCTGGTTGTGACCTCTAGCTCTACCTTTGGGCGGAGAATGAGCGTTCGGCGATGCCTAGTTTATGTTTCCGGTAAAAAAGACCGTGTAAATTTTCTCTTGTGACACCCTGTACATGCGTGAGCTTCTGGAATAATCGGCGTAGAATGTTTGACGCGTAGAACATTCGGACCTCAAACACGCAACATGATTCTCGAATCTACCAGAAAACTAAATTGCAGGAATAACAAAAGATGTAGCGCTGCCACGGATCGAATCCTGACTTTTCGCGTGGGAGCCAGGTACGATAACCGTTAGGCCACGAGCGCCGCCTATACTTGGCCAGCTGCGCGCGCGGCAATATATGCATGCGCACAGCTCGTGTTTCGGACTCTTTTTTACCCGTTTTGGTCGTAGGGAATACAATTTGGATATGCCTAGTTTTCGATGGGGTCGGTCCTTCCTAAACAGCTGGTAAGCTTCCTTAATAGAACGGGTCATAAACCTTTTTACGACTTTGGTCTTTTTGTCGTTGATCATGGTTTTAAAAAGTCCTTTTTGTTGGGGCTTTGAACAGAGCATGCGAGGTCGTCGCGTGTGTAGTACTCAAATGCCTTTCTCACGTTTTTGGCATTCGCCTTTTTTTCCATGCAGGGATCAGGTGTTGCCCAGGCACCACCTTTACGCTTCAGTTTTCTTGTTTGATCAATCATGTTGGCAGTCACTTCTGGTACCAGACGCAATATTTCTTTCTTCGAGATGCTTGGTGGCAGAAGCGTGTAGAATCGCTTGAGTTACTGGTGGAAACTGCATGCCTTCAGCGCTTCGCTGAATGCGTCAAACCACTCCGTGCAGTGCTCACAACTGTCTTCGCCGGTTTTCGCGCCATAAACGCTTGGCAGCTTTCTTGTAATCAAAGAACTAACTTAAGCTTGTCTTTTCTTTTTTTTTTTTTCAAGTACGCTTTGCGCTTTTTTTTTTTTATGGTTTTACGTGGTTTCAATGGGGTTACCAACGGACTAGCAGCCAGAGCTGGCCAAATTACTCATATTTTGTAATTAAATTACATTACTAATTACTTTGCTGAAAATCGCTGAAATGTAATTAAATTACATTACAAATTACCACAGCCAGAAAGTAATTAATTACGATTACGAATTACTTTTAAAAGTAATGACATTACTTTCGCATTGCTTTTGTATACTTTTAAATATAAAGGATCTATAGATAACTTCCTTTTACAGATAACTTTATTAACATTATTTACACCAGTTCGTGGCACACAGCTATAACTCTGTTGCATGTTTACCGATGGACAGAGGAACGCACGCGACTGATCCGTTTCCCACCCCAACCCGGACAACTATTTTTGGAGATGACTGAGGACCCTACGCGGATTATCTCTGGGTGGGGGAGAACACTTGTCATTGTTCGCAAAATCGCGTCGAGGCCGTTCCACCAGGGGCCTTAGTTCGACCTACTTCCCCTTCTTCGCTTCCCGAGAATGTCGAGCAGAAAAGCTCGAATGGCAGGCACTTACCAGCCCTATTTCTCACAGTGGAAGATAACACAGAGAGGGACGCAGCATGCACCAGAAAAAGTAAGCGGAAACTTTCAAGAGGGGCCAGAAAACGTCGAATGCAAAACCGCAAAACATAGGTAGAAAATCGCGCTGAGCGGGTTTTCACAGTTCAAGAGAGTGGCAGAAAATGTGTAGCTGATAGCGGGCGCGAGAGTCGCACC